TGAGTTTCACACCAGTTCCTTGAATAATTTGATCAAAATTGATAACAGGCAACTGAGCTTTTGGTTTGTTGTCCATGACTGCTGATTAGATTCTGAGCCCGAGGGGTATATATACCAGCTTATATAGATTATCAAGTCAGTCTTTGATGTGACATGTCTGAGAGCAGACGTGGTAAAGGTTTGTTCAACAATATAATCAACAAGCTCCCACTTGAACTTCACATACCAGGTTATCAGTACTGCGGTCCGGGTACAAAGTTAGCCAAGAGGTTAGCTCGAGGTGATTCAGGTATAAATCCTTTGGACGCTGCTTGTAAGGAACACGATATAGCTTACTCGAAAAATCGTGAAAATTTGGAAGCTCTTCACGAGGCTGATAAAATTCTTGCTGAGAAAGCGTGGCAACGATTTCAAGCAAGGGACGCTGCTATTGGTGAAAAAGCTGCTGCTTGGAGTGTAAATAAAATCATGAAGTTAAAAAGACGTTTCGGTATGGGGATTAAAAAAGAAAAACCTATCACCAAGCGTGAGACAATTAAAAGAAAAACAATGAAGTGTAAGGTAGTTGTGAAAAGAAAGGAAACCAAGTCTAAGCGGAAAACGATAAAGCGTAAGATAACCAAACGCAAGGTAGTCAAAAGAAAGACAGTCAAGCGCAAGACTTCCAAGAAGAAAGATGTTGCTCTAAGACAGATTGTTGATGGAGCTAAAAAGTCCATGCAGCCTGGTGGAGATCCAGTTAAAACAGCCGTAGAAGGTGCCCGCAAGGCTGTCAAGAAAGCTGGTGGGAAGAAAAACGTTCGATTGCCTCGTATTCTACCAGTTCCATCAAAGATTGGTGGAGTACTTCCATTCTTGATTCCCCTGTTTGCAGGGTTATCAGCGGTTGGTGCTCTGACAGGTGGAGCTGCAGGCGTTGCAAAAGCTGTGAACGATGCAAGCGCAGCCAAAAATCAACTAGCTGAAAAGAAACGTCACAACTTGAAGATGGAGGAAATAGCTGTAGGTAGAGGATTATACCTTAAACCTTACCGCAATGGTATGGGACTTTATCTGAAACCATACCCAGAGGGAGCGGGTTGCAAGAAGTCAAAAAACCAGTAGAGCTACCACATCGAGCACTGACTAACATCGATTTATTAAAGTATGCTAAGCTGCTTAAAATTCCAAATTTTCGTGGAGTTTTCATGAGAAATGATTTACCAAAATCTGGACCAAAGACAAACGAATCAGCAATAATAAATTTGGATGATAAACTTGGACCTGGAACTTACTGGGTTGCCTACAAGAAGAATCACAATCAAGTAATTTATTTTGACAGTTTTGGTAATCTACAACCCCCACAAGACTTGATGAAATATCTCGATGTTGGTAGCGTAAAGTACAATCATCAAAGGTAATGGGTATGGGTAATGGTAATGGGTATAAAAGGATTGCAGCAATCATAAAAGGTATCAAGACTTTGATACAATCATATGTGGACATTTGTGTTTAAAATTCTTGGCTGGACAACTATAAATTGAAGTGACTTGGGACTGCACGCGTCAGTCATGGCAGAATCATTCACCTTGACACTATCCGGAAACTCCTCCATACTGAAGGCAAATTATTTTCCACCGATTGAGCTATCACCAACAAAAAATTATGTACTTGGACTTGTTAAGCTTCTGACATTCAAGTCAATACCAAATATCGATGTTGATGCTAATAAATTCTATGTGTCATCAAAAAGATCCAAGAGGAGTACAATCAAGAGATTTCAAGAAATAACTATACCGACAGGGAGTTATGAAATTAAAGATATTAAAACTTATATAAACAAGACATTGCCTGAACTGAGTTTCACTTTAAAAGCAAACAACAATGAGTTGAAAAGTGAAATAAAATGTGATCAGTATATAAATTTTGAACCTGAAGATTCCATTGGACCATTACTTGGATTTACTAAACGTATACTTGAACCTAACACAGCACATAAATCTGATTTACCAGTGAAAATATTAAAAATCAACTCTCTGAGAGTCGAGTGCAATATAACTACTGGGTCATACATCAATGGCGTGAAGAATCATACAATCCATGAATTTTTCCCGAGGGTTCCAGCAGGATATAAAATAGTGGAAGTACCAACAAACATCATTTACCTACCAGTCGCCGTACGAGCAATACACAACGTGAGACTCCGCATTGTTGATCAGGACGGAAGAATAGTAAATTTCCGTGGTGAGACTATAACGATAAGACTACATATAAAGAGTCTGTAATGGGTATCGTATATGAGACAAAGACTGGTAATGGGTATAAAAGGATTGCAGCATGCCCAAAGATCATCAGTCATCATCAAGCTCTGAAAGTGTTAACACATCAGAACGCAGAGTTCCTAAAAAGTCTAGGACTAAAATTACGTGGAAAATTCGTAAGATAAAAATAAATTTTTGTTGTCTAGCTTGTGTAATACCATGGCGGAAATCTTAGATATAAAAAAATCAATTATTTTTGATGAGTCTATTGCACACTGCGAAGCTCATTCACACCTGCCATACGCATCATCAACGTTCAACAACAGTGATGAAATTAGGATTGCTGTTCAACATCAAGATCTGTGCTTACTCCCAAGCAAGAGCACATTACATTTTTATGGAAGAATGAGGAAAGCTGATGGTACTGCTGTAAGTGCTACTACAAAAATGATCAACATGGCTGTCTGCCATATGTTTGAAGAGATACGTTATGAGCTCAATGGTGTAGAAATTGACAGATGTAAGAATGTTGGTATTACCAGTGTTATGAAAGGATACGCTTCTCTGAGTCCAGGACAGCAAAATATTCTGGAAAATGCTGGTTGGATTGTAAATAAAGATAATAACAAGTTGACCAATCCTAATGGCTACTTTGATGTCTCGGTACCGCTGAGTTTTATTCTCGGATTAGCTGAAGATTATCAACGAGTTATCGTGAATGTTAAGCATGAATTGATACTGATCAGATCAAATACTGATCAAAATGCTTATGCTGTTACCGCTGGGGAAGAAGATGTTTCAATTACGATTCAAAAAATTGAGTGGATTGTACCGTATATAACAATGTCTGATAAGCAAAAAATTGAGGTGTTGAATTACATAACCTCTGATCCTGCAATCCCAATCAGTTTCCGCACTTGGGAATTGTATGAGTATCCACTGCTACCAGCTGCAACCAATCACATTTGGTCAATCAAAACAACAAATCAACTCGAAAAACCTCGTTTTGTCATCGTTGGATTTCAAACAGCAAGAAAGAATCAATCGAATCAAAATGCAAGCGAGTTTGACCACTGCAACATAAGAGACATTAAACTCATCTTGAACTCTCAGAGTTATCCATATGGAAATTTGAACCTCAACATTACGAATAATCAGTACGCATTGATGTATGACATGTACACAAATTTTCAAAGTGCTTACTATGGAAAAGAAGCTGAACCTCTAATGGCTAAGAAAGATTTTCTGAATAAAGCACCTCTGTATATAATTGACTGTTCCAAGCAGAACGAGTCAATCAAGTCTGGGCCTGTGGATATACACCTGGAGTTTGAATCATCAGCACAGTTTCCAAATCAAACTACTGCTTACTGTTTAATAATTCACGATCGTATAGTGGAATACAATCCAATCAGCAGCACTGTGAGAAAACTTACCTAATGGTGCAGTTTGATCCCAAACCCACCATACATTACATGTATGTATGGGACTATGCATCCAGACAAGCGAAAAAAGGTCCATGGGAACAAGCAGCAAGAGACGGAGAACGATTTCGCCGACGAATACAAGAATTAAATAAAATTATTGAACCTGTACTAATCAATAAACTTAATGTAATTAAAAATAATAAATAAACTTAATGTAATTAAAAATAGTAAATAAAGAAAAACTTTTTTATAATTTTGTGTTTTTTAATTATAAACCTTACTATAATAAGCACAAAAATAAAAATTTTAGTATAAACATTAAGTATACATATTAATTAAAAACTAATATTAGAACACAGCTTTTTTAAAATTTCAACAATTGATTTTCCAGAGTGATTGATAAGCTTAAACTTATTGTAGTTGGTTCCAATGTAGTGTAAATTCAAAGTATCACCCAAAATTAAAATTTTCATTTTAAGTATCATGTCGGAATTGTTAAGATATTTTTGGTTAGTTGCAGCAGGGAAGAATGTTGAAAAGTTGTTATCCAAGTCAATTTCAACGTTGAGTCCATGATCAGTCACAACAGTTCTAATTCCGGTTAGTTTATACGTTTTTCCAACCTTGAGTTTATTCATTCGTTTGAATGGTAATCTGTTCTTAGTTTGATCTTCAACATTGATCCGTTTAAATGTTTTTGATCTCTCAATTTCGTATACATCATCAGTAGCAGAATGTTTACGGTAAGGAGCCATTACTGAGATTCTGTCAACAGATTCCAGGCAGCAGATTTCAACAGGAGGGTAGTAGATTTCAACACCAGGATGTAGATGAAGCTAATTTCTCTAAACTGGAAGCCAAAAATCTAAAAGAGTCAATAAATCTTAAAGAGACTGAAGTATTTTTAACTAATTTTGTGAAAGAAATGTAACGCTCTTTATTGATCGGTAGTAATGAAATTTCACCTTCAAATACTGTAGCTAAGGACTTAATTATGAAGTGGGAGTCATAGCCGGATAAATTATGAAAGACAACTGGGATAATGGTAGATTTTTGATAATTAACGTTACAAGATTTATGTGCAGCATCTCTGTAGTTACCCGTAAAGTGACAATGATCATAAACTTTATTTGTCGGAGATGTTATAGGCTTTTCACAGATGTGACACTCAGTTGCCTGGTTGTGTCTATCTTGTTGCTCTTTCGTTAAGGGTTTCATTTTAATAGGGTTCTTTAGAATGTTTTCAAAGTCTAGAGCTAACGACTCTAATTGTTTAACGAACCAGTTGATGCAATCAGGAGAACGGTTTAATTCAAATTTAGAGAGTGTATTATCATAGCTGCAATGTACATAATAAGCAATACTGTGTGGAACATGTTTATGAGTTGGTTTTTCATCATCTCCCGGGGGTTCGAGTATGCATTCTAGATCCGCGTAAACTACAAACGGTACAGTATCTTTGGACTTAAAATCTTTGAATTTTAAAATCTTATTTTTTTCACTAGGAAATTCCATACGAACTTTGTTAGTTTTAAAACAATCTACTCGGTGTCCTAAATAACATTTTTCTAATTTGAAATGATTCAAACAACGATCACAAAAGTATAATCTATGTCTACCTAGAGATATTTGACTTTTAATTAGTCCGGAAAGATTATGTATCAATGCAAAGTGATAGACTGACTCAATATTATCTAAATTTTCAGTATAATTTACACTTTTTTTAATCATTAATAGATGAATTGTCGGTATTTCTGACTCGAAGTTACTTAAATATAATGGGATAATAGTACTTTTTTCAGACTTTTTACCCGTGAATTCAGAATCTATACCATATACGTTAATGCTAAGGTCATTCATTTTTTCAAATTTTGGTACATCATTAAGTTTGATTGGAAATTGAATACCTTCATAATTTAATCTGATGCTGAAGTGACGATAACTTGTAGGATCACCCGGAACCAATACTGGTGGATGCAAGGCAGCGTTGACACACCACAGGAAGCAGAACTCATCATTGTTCTGGATGTTCGTAACCGCATTCTTCTTGATAATATCCCTCGGTAATACGACGAAGGTGGAGTTTCCAACTTGGGTTGGTGCGAATCTTGACATAGTCACCATCAAGCTGTTCGGTCCAAGTAGACTCCATCCGGAACCCTCATGCTCAAAATCTTCAATTCTTTGAAGTAATTTATCGTAGACATGTTGACTAAACAAATCCTGAAGAGATGTGGCAGGGAGAATCTCACGGCTTTTGGTGATGAAAGACTTTCGCTCTTCTACATCTTCTTGTTTCCGGAATGTGCAAAAGACTTCAACATTCACTTTCAACCCTGCCAGATCTCTCAAGACACTCTGTACCTTGTTGATGATGATGTCCCGTGAGGCCTGGAGAAATGATGCTGGATCTTTGTGACGTTGGTTGATGACACATCCAGTCTGGATGTTACCAGCAAAAGCATTCTCCAAGTCCTTTCATTTGACTCCTTGGTTGAGATCTCCACCAACAATTTGGTTACCGAGTCTGGAGAACTGACCGGCAAACCAGTTGAGTTGGTTGATGTGCGCTTGAACACTTCGTCTCACTTGTATTGTTGTTCCAGGATCCAGTAATATTGTATTGAAGTATTCAATGGTCTCCTCACACACTCGTAAACACCTTTGACGATGTTCATCAGTGAGCTGCTCTCCCAACAGATCAGCATATGAGAATGCAATAGTGTCCACCAAGTTTTTGAGAGCCTCGATGAGGTTATGTTGTGCCATTTTGAAACGAGAATCACTTCACTATTGTCTATTTACACAATATTATAGGTTATGTACACTTTTTAAGGTTATGTACACTGTTTATAGGTTATATACACTGTTTATAGGTTATGTACACTTTTAAAGGTTATGTCACTGTTTATAGGTTATGTATACTACACACACTGAATTTACACGATAGTTTTTGCACACTGGACTACAGTTTATGCACACTAGACTACATTTTATGTGCACACAATAGTTTTTGCACACTAGACTACAGTTTATGCACACTAGACTACAGTTTATGTGCACACAATAGTTTTTGCACACTAGACTACAGTTTATGCACACAATAGTTTTTGCACACTATATTCGCGTACTTCACAACACTGAACTTCACTATATTTTATATAACACTGAATACTTTTTAATCACGAGAGATGTTTCACTGGAGACTTGTACTTCGTTTTTGTGAAGTTCGCTCTCGGCGAGCTGCTTATATAGGTTGAGCGGATAGCAGATTCAAAATAGCGGAGTCAGACTCAGATAGCAGCCACCAGATGGCGGATTGCAGATAGCAGATGGCGGATTCAAAATGGCGGATAGATTTTAAAAAATGGCGGGAAAATGGCGGATAGATTCAAAAATGGCGGCAGAATTCACCACCAGCGCCACCTACAACCAAGTCGATAAAAAACCTCGCTCATAACCTCAAAATGTCGGTAAAACATGCCATCCATACTCACGACAAACACCTGCTGACGGCAAAACAGATCCCATCCATATCGACAGGCGGTACTTAGCCTGGGCACGGACCCACAAATCTGTTTTACCGACGGAGTCAGACCCCCAGACACACTACTCTCGCTGCCAAGTAGTTTTCCACCGAGGAGGGATTTGTACCAGTGCAGACGTGAAGGAGTTGCTGCTCTTCGAGGGAGTTCACTAGCGTCATAAAGAGAAAAACTCCAGGTACAAATACTATGCCTCAATAATCTCTCGGTGGTGCAGCATCAGCCAGGCATTGAAGTCGGCTGAAGGTCACCGCCATTTCGCGTTCGGTCACAATCATTAGTTTAAGTATTACGTCGTAGAATTTACTTAATTATTAACGCACTGTATAAATTCCCACGTGGTGAGGTCACGAACACACACACAAATTCACACAACCCAATGGTACCGGGCCTTAGAGTGTCGTCACTCACCTTTTGATAATTCTGCGAGGAATGTACTAATCCCTCACAAAATGAATCGACACAAAAAAAATTATTAATAATGAAATAAAATTGAAATTAATTATTACATAATCCTTTTTTGAGTTAGAGATCGCATCATGGAGGGGGGAATTTTTTTGGTGCCCCACAAAAATGCTAATAACTTTGTATTAATATGATATTTTTGGATAAAAATTTAGGAGAATAATCTGCAATGTTTACTTTATAAAACAAAAAAAAACCCGATCCCCAAATTCCTTTATTATCCCAGTCAAAAAAAATCCCGAAAATCACCTATTTTTTCGATCCTCACAGTGGTCATCCCCCTTAACCCAGGGGCTCTGCCAGATGTTTCTGTTGCCCACCGTCACCCCGTAGAGGTGCCCTGGGTGCAGGCACAAGCGATCGTAAGGGATTTTTAATGGAAATTTTTAAGATTGCCTAAGAATGGAGCTGAATAACTGGGTCAAGACTGAAAGGAAAAAATTTGTTACCTAAAGGAGTATCGTTCTCCTTTTATCGTACAAGAAAAGGAGAGTTCCGGGAATTCTTCACAAAAGACGATGAGAACTCGATGGTATACTGTTGCGATATTAAACCTTGGTTGATCAATTGAAACCTAATATCTATAAAGACGATGAGTTGAGACTCTTAATAGATTTGTCAATTAAGAGTCTTAAAGCTGTATTACTTCATATTGAGAACGAATTGGCGCCGATCCCAATTTTAAAACATTAACGGGGCAAGAAAACTTCAGATTCAAACTAAACGGAACAATATACATGAAAACTTCAATTTTTTCATGATTTATTGCCTTTTTTTAGGGGTTTTCGTTTTTTTTTCTAATTTGGACGGCTTGTCACACGAATTTTATTCGTGTGTGCGACCCTCTCTGCGCCTAGGGTTGGCTACAGATCCACACTCGGTGTGTCTCTAAAATTTTACTATTATTGTATTATTTTATTAATTTATATACTGTATATTCTTTATTATTATTTATATTTGACAATTTATGTACTATTATTAATAGTTCGTAAGTATTAATTTTGACATTTATTTCAGAAATTCGTATTGAAATATTTATAATCTTATTATTTTATTGCATATTGATTATCGGTAATTAGTCGTAGCCCTTGCTCGCGTGGGTAATTCCCTAAAGTATCGATTGCGAGCATAGGGATTGGTAATTTTGGTAAACGACTTGAGAGGCCCTCGTGATCGGACACGAGGTCTCGGAGTTTTTCATAAAATAAAAATCGGGAGACACGCGGTAATCCGCAAAGTGTAAGGAGTGTGGATCTGGCACCTTAGTTCGAGTTCCTTTTTTTTTGGTGAGTACTCACAAGTTGAGCCATATTATTATCCGCACACCGTGTTGTCTTCTGGCAAATCATTTGTATTAAAAAGCGTTATTAGAGTCAGCCAGTATTTATTTTCTATCATCAGTTGCCAAGATAACCTGACTAGGGATTTCGGGTAGATCTCTGTTCAATATTATTAGATATAATTTTGATTTTGTATTCAAAGTCGTCGAAAATAAATAGTCTACTCAGGATTTAGATTAATAATCCATAATTATACGCGGCAAGATTATTATTGTTATATAGTCCATCCAGCTAAGGAATTCGGCTCTGAGCTTAGTTTTAAGTAACTTTGTTTTGAATAAATAGTTTATTTGTTTTATTAATATTCGCTGATTTGTTAATAATTTAATTTACGCAGTTTACTTCCTCCTTTCTTTCCTAATATTAGTATATTATTTATCTTTCCCTGGAATACCTGCAGATCGGCCCTGAAAATCAAAGGGTTTGTTGTTTCCCTAGGTAAAAGAACAACTGGCGTCCATACGGTGAACTAACACAGCCTGAGGAAGAGCTGCTGGTTGCTTGGGAGGCTAAGAGTCACCTCCCAAGTCATTTTTTTGTCTATTTAGTTTTTTTATTGGGCGACCTGGACAAAGTTACGTGTCCACTGACCGCTCCACTGTCAGCAGGAGCATAATTTTTGTTACAGGCTCACCGGGCTAATTAACTTTTAGATTTAGATTCAGTAATTCAAAATACACCAAAATCATACGTAATCCGGATCCTCAAAAATTTTTTCATGGCTGTGACTGCAGTTTTTTTGCAATTTTTGACCTTTTTGAGGTTTTTTGCATTTTACTCAAAACTGGAGGGTGACCGGACCAAACGGACTCGAAATTCGAATTCAGCGGATCGAAAAACATATCGGTAGGTAGGTCCGGCCCAAAGTACATTCCACTTTTTTTTGTGTGCCAGTGATATTTATTAAATGTTAAAAAATATTTATTTAAAATTTAATAAAGTAAATAATTGTCTTCGAATAAATTAATTTTTTAATAAATAATAAATCATTCTCTCAGCGTATATTAGTAATTAATAATTTGCAAATTTGATAAAAAATTTTGTTCATTACGCATCGATCATGGATACAATTTGCATTACTTGTAGTTATTACAAACTCTACTCTTCAAGTGTCTCGTAGGTAAATAGGTAATGAATTAGTCTTTCAAGCGTCAGGTCCAAGGTTAGGTTCGCGCGCGCGCCGATTTTTTTTTTTTTTATGGAAATAATTCTATATAATTATATAGAGCCATTTTTCATATATAATTATGTAAGGATATATATAATTATATATAATCTTTTTCACCCGGGCAATTTAAAGATCTGCCCAGATCTGATTATATCTGGCCAGATCTCGTCAGATAGAGACAATTTAAAGATCTGGCCAGATCTGTTTAAATATGGCCAGATCTAATCCGTTTTTCCCGGGTACTATAACCTTGTCAAAAAATATATTGCTTACGGCCTGAAAACTGTACGAATGAAAAATTTCTTTTATGTCACAGAAGTGGACATTGCATTCGTCAACCAATGGGTAAAAACAAAATTTGTATCGTATCCCAAAATATTGCAAGGTTTTTGAATTCATCCAATCCACCAGAAGGTTACATTGAAAATTCATTACAAAACAAGATAAAAATCTTTAATAGAATAATTAATTCAGATGATCACTAGTCCGTGTATAAGATAAACATATATCAATCTCAAGAAACTTATCCGCCAGTCAAAAGGACTCGATTATCAGGCGTTTCAAGTAATCTAGATCTGCAAAATCCACAACCTCTACTTCTACTTTCAAATCTGCTCATGAACTAATAACTTATGAAGAAAGCATACCTTCACCTACACACAATGTAGTAGAAATTAACAATTTAGACTTCGACATTCCGTTTGAACCGATACCAGAAAATAATCCAAATTTTCGGTTGACAGCTGAAGCTACAAAAAAAAGTAAAGAGTCTACAAAAAGAACAAGAGAGGTATTGAGTGAAATAAAAAAATAAAGGAATATCAAATATGTTTAATTTAATGTCCCCTGTTGTTAAATTTGATAACTGCACTATTAACAACATCACTATTAATACTATTAATCACTATTAATAATGATGTTTCCTAATTATAAAATCTGATCGAACTATTGATAAGAAAAATGATTATATTTTGTTGTTTCCAAAGGACACTAACTTCAAACTTATGAATATTGAAGTTAACCTTGTAATTATTAAAGCTAATACATAATTGTTTAAGTCACTGAGATTTGAATAAATAAAAAAACTTATGTACGTGCTATTTTGAAAGCAATCAGATCATAATAATTTAAAATAATGATAAAGTTAATAATAATGTTGTCCAATTACAAAATGTGATTTTTTAATTATTAACTATTAATAATATGATAAAAAAATTTTATTTAGTTGCTTCTAAAGAAAACTTATATTGAACTTGAGATTAGTAAAATTAACACATAGTTGTTTGTCAGTAGAATGAAAAATATATAAAAAAGTTATGTATGTGTTAGTCTAAAAGAAATCAGATTATAATACTTTAAAAAATGGTCAAATTGAGAATCATAATAATTTTAATAATAATAATAATAATGTTACTTACTTTACTGCCCTTGATGTGTAATATACTATATTCTACTCTATAAAGATGACATGATGTTCTGGAAAAAGTGTTATTGTAATATCTAATTAAAACTTCCCGACATGTACAACTTCGGAACGCTCGAGAAATTATTTATTTTGGTTTCGAGCTCAAAAACGGAACTTTTCTACTTTTTCTGCTCTTCGAACTCGAAAATCTAGTGGTTTTTAAAAATTACTTTTTAAAAAATACTTTTTTGAAAATTTTTAATCGTGATATCTTCCGATCGAATCAATCGTTTTTGATGAGACTCATGGTAAAAAAAAAAATTTTGTAGTATTCTATAAAATTTGTAACGGGTAATTTTTGAGTGTTTTTTAAATAACTAACCAATGAACGATACTGCGACACAAACGCCCCCTTGCTCGAATCTGAAGCTCGCCGAATTCCAGGGTCAAAAAAGGGTTGGTACCAATATACAAAACCGAAAATAAAAGCCAAAACAAAACTCAATTAAATGCAAAATAATATATAGATATCTAAATCTAAAGAAATAAATTCGAAAGTCAAACAGGTTATGATAAAGATATAATAAATAATTTATTTATCAAAATCAATTAAATAAGTCAAAGAAAAAGATTACAAGTAAACAAAAACACACGTGATACAATTTTAGGTTATATCAAACCCCAAAAACTAAATCAAAACAACAATATAAAGAAAACGATTTCAAAACAATATCTTTCGTCGGTAAACGCACGCGTACCTTCCGTCGGTAACAAAGATCCGATCAAAACTGGTCTTTACAAAATAAGAATCCTCACACACATACTCACTCGTCGTGAGCGTCAAAATCGCGAAATAAACTCCAAAAGCTAGTTCCCCGCTTCCCCAGGAGACTAGCCGTCACCCCTGGGCCTAAACCTCTACACCGAGAGCGAATGGAGAATATCCTCTTCGCCCCCACCTACACGGCGTATGATCACCTACTGGAGTTTTGACGGAAAGTCAAAAATCCAGGGAAGTCGAGTCTTGTTAAGAGTTCAAAAGGTACTTACCAATGTTCAAGACGAACCGAGGTAATGTCCCTCCAGGTGTTATTGCTGGAAGAATATTCACCACAAATAACACTCTGTCACAAGACTTGCTCTTTCGTGCCAAAATTTTGGACTTTATCATATTTTAAATTTTTACTTGGAGCGAACAAAAATCAAAATTTATCGCCATCTGTCCGGCGTCATCGAACGAACATTTAAAATAATTATTTATTATTTTAATCGTAATTTCGCTCATTTTCTATCCATTCGTCTCACCAAATTCTAAGTTTTTAATTTTCACTTTGAAAATTAAATATCAAATGCATTCATTCAATTCAACAGATTACATGAATTTTCATCAGATTACATTTCCATACAAAATCCTCGTCGGGACTTAGAAAATTTCTTACATAAATTATTTTCATAAAATAATTAATTTCCCAAAAATTATTTTCCATATAAAATAATGTTTGGGACTTAGAAAAAAAAAATTATTAATTGGATATTTCGAATTTTATTCAAAATATTTAATCAGTTATTTATTTGAGATAAAATCAATTTTTGTTCTCTGAAAGAACAAAAATTATCGTGCCACGATTTCGCTTATATTAGCTCGGCGGTTTTTACTGCTAGCGGACACGCGACGCCATCTGTCGCGCGGTGGCAAACTAACTAATTTTCTTTCTTTAAAATTATTTTAACTAACAGAAATTATTAATAATAATTATAATATAAACAAAAGCGCTGTATGTTTATTAATGAATATTTAATTTTAAAGAGATAAAAAATTGACTAAAATATATACATAGTTTCATTAATACTCTTAACACAAATAATACTCGGTTTTACCGCAATAATAATAATAATAATAAT